TAAATACTTGTCTGTTTAATAAAACAAGTTGTTTGGAGTTGGAAGGTAAGACATAACAGGATAAAGGTGTATAATCTTTTAAAGAGTTAGTACTAATCTGTCTAACATGAATATTGTCATCTTATTTTTTCCTTCAATTTATAGTCCCAATGACAGGATTCACACAGAGAGCAACCATCGATCCAGAACTGAATGAAATACATGTCTTATCTGGACTCAGCAAAGACAAGGAAAAGAGAGAAGAGAATGTCAGAAATTCATTCTGGATTTATGACATTGTGAGGAATAGTTGGTAAGAAACTCTTGTGCCTGTGTGGCAGTCCAATGTAATATTTATGTGAGGTTTTTTATTTAAAAGATGAGAGAATGGAGGGCTTATATTACTTGTTACATTGTACATTTAAAGGTCAGTATTGAAAGAAATCAATATTTTTAAAAATAAGTATCATAAGCAAAACTGACACTTGTATATACAGTGATATTGACTAAATGGAATTTTACTTCTAGTTGGTTCTCAATCAGGGAGTCAAGGGATTTATATTGCTACCAACAAGATAGATGAACAAGGGAATAATGCTTTTTTTGTCTTGTTATGAAGTGCAAAGGTGTCTCTACAGCAGATTGGGGGCATTATTACTTCATGTTTCCAAACCAGGACCCTTTCTCACAGAGCATGGCGCAGAACTGTTCCTGCATGATTTGCTTCAGTAAACACTGGTCTGCACTATCCAGCTCTCAGATTCTGTGATTGCTACATGAGTGAATATTTCTACAGAATAGAAACACTTCAAAGAATGTACTCTTTTCAGTAATAGATAGTAATGTTCAACAATTAAGGAATAAATTTTTTCCTAAATACGACATTTATTTAGAACACTGTACTCTATCACTTTATTATGAATAAAGAGGATAGCGTATCTTTAACCTTCAATTTGATTCTGCATGTGTGTTTTTCATGTTTCACAGGTTGTTTTAAAGGGAACTATTTGATAACTATAAAAAGAATTTGAGAGCTGAGGTGTAACACATTCACATAATTTTATGAGTGGTGTCAGGACTTTAATCTTTGATGTGAATAAATGTGTAATCTTTTCTGTTGGTTATGGGACATTGACAATTAAAAGCACTGTCTTGTAGGTCTTGTGTCTATAAGAATGATCAAGCTGCAAAGGATAATCCAAGTAAAAGTCTACAGGAGGAAGAACCATGTCCAAGATTTGCCCATCAGCTTGTTTATGATGAGTTACATAAGGTATGTCAACTGCTTTGACCTTTAAACTTTCTGGGATCTGCAGTATGCAAGATTCACCAAACACCTATTTCTAAGTGTTTTTAAGTAGATTTGAATACAAAGTTATAATGTATAGCAAACATTTATTAGAATATATAACAGGCATTCGATGTCACTTTTCCCTAAAGTTCCTTAAAAGAATAAATGTTTTTAAGAAGTAGACAGTCATAACCATGGAACCAAGGGAAATGATAAACCACATGTAAACAAATGAAAATCAGGAGTGCATCACTTAGGGAAAGAACAAAATTGGTCGGGTGTGGTGGTGCATGCCTGCAATCCCAGCACTCAGGAGGCTGAGGCACAAGGATTATTGTGAGTTCAAGACCAGCATGGGCTACAAAGTGAGCTCAAGGCCAGCCTGAACTGCATAGGGAGACCCTGTCTCAAAAAAAGACAAAAAAAAAAACAAAAAAAAAAAAACAAAAACAGAAACAAAGGAAAATAACAAAATAACAAATTAGTATATACATTTCTGTGAAAAACATTTAACAAAGATGGTCTTAGTTCTTCAAATAAAAGACAGACTGGCAGGTTAGATCAAAAAACCAAAATTTGCTTCTAAGAAACATACTTCATCAGCAGAGACATAGCATGGATTGAGAGTGAAAGGATGGAAAATGATAGTCCAGGAAGCTGGAGTCTGAAAGCAAGCAGGAATAGATACATCCTAGAAAGACTTCAAACTAACACTAGTCAGAAGAATAGATTTAATGCAGTCCCAATCAAAATATCAGCAGCATTCCTCACAGAACTAGAAAAAAAATTATCCTAAAATTTATATGGAGAGCTAGGTGTGGTGGTGCATACTTGTAATCCCGGCGCTCAGGAAGCTGAGGCAGAAGGATCAGTGTAAGTTTGAGGCCAGCCGCGGCTACAAAATGAGTTCAAGGCCAAATTGATCTACATAGTGGGACAATGTCTCAAGAAAAACCACAAAAAAAACCTTTTTTTTTTTTTTTTACATGGAACCAAAAGAGATCCAGAACAGCAAAAGCATTCCTGGTCAATAAAAGCAAGAGGCATTACAATCCCAGATTTCAAGCTGTACTACAAAGTCACAATAGTAAAAGCAACATGGTACTGCACAAAAACACGTTTGGACCAGTGGAACAGAATAGAGGATGAAGAAACAACCCCAGGCACATTACAAATACTGACCTTTAACAAAGGAGGAAAAAGCATATGCTGGGAGGGAAGGCGCCCTCTTTAATAAATAGTGTTAGGGAAACTGGTTACACACGTGCAGAAGATTGAATCTAAACTGTCGCCATACACCAAAAGAAAAAATGGATCAAAGTTATAAATATTAAAATAGAAACATTTAATCTGCTGAAAGATAAAATACATAAATTTCTTACAGACATAGGGGTAGGAAAGAACTTTCCAAACAGAATCCTAGTTGTGCAAGAAATAACATCAAGAGTCAACAAATAGGATTATATCAAATTAAAAAGTTCCTGTACAGCAAAGGAAACAATCAGTAAAATGAAGAGACAATCTATAGAATGGGAAAAGTTTTTTGCTAGTTACTTGTCTGACAGGACTAATACCTAGAATTTACAAAGAATTCAGAAAAATCAGATGTTTGTCAAATAAAAGACCCAGTCAAAAAATGGACAACTGAAATGAATAAACACTTCTCAGCAGTACAGATGGCCAATAAATGCACGAGAAAATGTTCAGCACCACTAGTCATCAGAGAAATGCAAATTAAGCCAACACTGAGATTCCATCTTTCTCCAGAAAGAATGTCCATCATCAAAAATCAAACAATACAAATGTTGCCAAGGCTACTGGGAAAAAGGCACTCTTCTTTATTGTTGGTAGAAATGTAAACTGGTACAATCACTATGGAAATTGGTATAAATATTCCTCAAAAAACTAAAAATACAAATTCCAGTTGACTCAGCTGTTCCCCTTCTAGGTACTGTCCCAAGAGTCAAAGATAATCACACCATAGTGACAGATGCACACCCATGTTTATAGCAGCACAACACGTAATAGCCATTTCTTGGAAGCAGCCTTTGTATTCAACAGATGAATGGATTTTAAAACTATTACATTTATATATGATGATATATTCACTATGTCATACAGAAGTATAAATTTGTCATTTGTAGGAAAATAGATGCACCTTGAAATCATATTAAGCAAAATAAATCCAACACAAGCTTAAATAGCATATAACTTGTCTTAGCAACTCAAAGTATAAATAATTTTTAAAGTTAGTAGGAAATAGATCTTTTACACATGAGAAGGGAATCTAAAAGAGGGAGAGGAGGGGAAAGGGAAAAAAGAATTAAAATATGTTAACTATTTATACCTACTCCTTAAAATGAATGTAAACGTTATGTACTATAAAGGTATACTAATAAAAAATAAAAAAGTAAAATTGGAAGAGACAAGAGGGCCACTGTCCTTTTGGTAAAAGGCTCAGTTCACCATGAAGAGATAACAACTGTAAGTATGTATGCACCAAACATTGGCAGCTCAATTTCATAAAACTACTGCTTGACATAAAAAGTCTGTTAGGCCTCCAATACAATCATAGTGGGTGACTTCAATATCATAGTCTCACAAATAAATAGGTAAACTGGACGCCCCCCAAAAAAATCCACCAAAAAGATCAGTTAAAGTACACTATAGAGATCAAATGGATTTAATAGACATCTACAGAGTATTCCATCCAACAGTACCAAAATACATTTTCAGCAGCCCACAGAACTTCCTGCAAGGTGGAATGTATTTTAAGCTACAAAACAAGTCTTAATAAATAAAAATAAATTGAAATAATCTCATGTATCATACCAGATCACAATGCATAGAAGGTAGAAATAGAAAGGTAACCACAGAAGCCAGGTGTGGTGGCATAAAGCTGTAATCCTAGCACTTTTAAAAGTTGAGACAGCCCAGGCATGGTGGCCCATGACTGTAATCCCAGCACTTGGGAGGCTGAAGCAAGAGGAGTGCCATGAGTTTAAGGCCAGCATGAACTATAGCAAGAACCTGTCTCAGAAAAAAAAAAAAGCTAAGACAAGAGCATCCCAAGATTGATCCTATCCTGGGCAACTTAGTGATTTATTGAGACCCAGGCTCAAAAAAGGGCCAGGGTTTAGCTTAGTGCAAAGGCTCAGTTTAATCCTCACTACTTAAAAAAAAAAGTGATGACAGAAACTACACAAACGTAGGAAATTAAATAATATATACAGTGGGGGGGCTGGGCATGGTGGCGCACGCCTGTAATCCCAGCACTTGGGAGGCTGAGGCAGGAGGATCATTGCAAGTTGGAGGCCAGCCTGGACTACAAAGTGAGCTCAAGGCCAACCTGAACTGCACAGTGAGACCCTGTCTCAAAAAGACCAGAAAA